CATGATTATGAGGGTTAGCCAGCAGCCCGGGGATTAAGGAGTTAACTACACCTAGCCAGGTGGAGTGACCAGTAGGAATGTAGGTGGGACTTTCAAACTGGGACAAAGGAATTTGGGTTTTTTCCTTTCTCCCTTTTGTCTCTCTGGGTGTGTTCTCTGCAGCTACAGAGAGGGACAAGCATGTCTCTCTCTCTCCAAGACACCATTCTTCATTTTCTGTAAGTAGGGTAAAGTTTAGGTAGTTTCGTTAGGCTTTATTGTTTTAAGGGTGGGGTATGGGATCTGACATTTGGCACTGCTTACAAGATGTTTTGGCTTTTCTTTGTAACTAAGTTCTAGGCCCATGGAGTTTCTCCAGGAGTATATTTTGTTACCTTCCCATCTAGTCATTATGCCTGCAACAGGAATATTGTTGTAATAATAAAAGTCTTCTCTTTTCTTTTTATTAACCTGGCATTGGTTACTTGTGTGTCCTGATTTTTATAATAGGGGTGAGATTTCCCAGATGATCTTTCCCCTGATTTCTTTATCAATATTTGGGTGGTGGCAGCGGAAGTTTTATTCCCAAAATCTAGGTTTTTAAGATTTTGGGGGAAGTTTTATACCAAAGCCTGGTAGATAAGGCTTTGGGGTACACTTGCTGGCCCCCACTTCTGCATTTATCATGCCAGAGTGGGGAAGAAGCCATGACAGTCCACATCACCCACTCACTGGCAGAGGCAGAGCGGTCTAGTGGTTAAAGCAGCCACCTGAGACTCATGGTTCTAGACCTGCTTCTGTGAGGTATGTGAGTTCAGGGAGGAGTGAGGGCTCCTGGGTTCTGTTTGTACCTACCCACCTTTCTCTGTACTCGCGGGTAGTGGGACGGTCATGGTGCCCGGCTGATTTGTCCGCTGAGTGACCGTTCCCTGCAGTGACCTCGTCCGACCCACCTGCTCACACAGGTCACGTTTGCTGCTGCGCACATCTCTCCCTGGATCTGAGCAGCTCTGCTCCTCGCGTCTCCTCTCCCGAGCCCTGTTCTTCGATGTCCTTCCTTGCTTGTCTTCCACATTCATCTAGCAGAGCCGGGTACCCAGGCCTGGCTCCGGAGGGCAAACGGTGCCATGGTTAGGCCACGGCCTGGCAGGAGGATGCTGCAGCCATGCCGGGGTGATCGGAGATTGGCTGGAGCACAGTGGAGCCTGGCGTGAGGGGTCTCAGCCGAGGAGGGAGCGATCCATCTGTTCACCGCAAGGGCAGGAGATCTTCAGCTGGGATGCCTCCAAGAAGGAGAGGCGAGGTGGGAAGTGACCTCTGTTACTGGGCCTGCTTCTGCTGCTGAGAGATGAGCCTCCGCTCGAATGAGCAGCTATTACCTGATAGCGCTACCCACGCCCCGCCCTCCGTCAGGCCCCCTGCGAACAGGAGGCATTTCTGTAGCTGGCTGCTGAGTCCGCTCCTGCGCAGGAAGTCAATACGCTCTCCCGAAGTATCGCGCTTTCGTCCCGTGATAGATTGTGGACGGGGACCAGAGGAGAAGGTTTGTATTAGAACCCCATGGCTTGGACGGACGCCTCGACATCAAGCCGATAGCGACACTCCTGTGTCAGGGCGAAGAATGAATCCGGCCTGGGTTGTGTTCTCGCTGGGCTTTATAATGAAGGCGGCTTTTTAAAGCGGACGTAATGGGCATCCCAGCTAGGAGCCCGCTGGCTGGCTCAGCGGGGGGGATTGGTAGTGGGCTATGAAGCCCTCCTCCCTTTGAGACCAGATCAAACCCAGCCTGGCAACAAGGAAGGCCAGAGTTTTTCCAAAGTGGCCTTGGATGCCGGTTGCTCTTGTGGGTGGGTGCCCAGCACAGAAGTGCTGTTTGCCAAGCAGGCGGAGTCCCCAGGGCTCCAATTTTCCTTGGGAAGGGCCAATGCCCAGCGCTGCTGGAGACCAGAACTGGGCCCCCAAATGGAGAGGCTGATTTTGAAAATGCCACTGTTGCCATGTCTCCCCTCCAGGGGGCGGTGTCGCAGGACTTTAGTCTAGTGCCCCCTGCAGTCATTGTGGTGCCATGACCGTCTGTCACTACACAGGACCCGTGGCCAGGGGCTGCTCAGCGCGTCCCCCTTCTGGGGTTGACAGAAAAGTGCTGGATAGGGCCCCCAGTCTGGTGGCTTTTGAGGCTGGGCCTTAAACTCCTTCTGGGGCCCCTGATCTTTGGGCCTCTTACCCTTTCTGAAGCCCACACCTTCGCCCTGGCTCTGGGGCAGGGGAGGGGAACGCCGGTCCAGCCCAGTGTAGGCGGCCGAGGGTTTTCCCTCAGTCCCTGTGCCATTTTCGCTGGGCCGCTCTTTCC